AGTAAAAGTCAAAAGTGATGTTTAGCAGATCTAAATTGATCTAAAAATCATTTAACCAAACCTCCCGTCCACACCAGTCATTAACAAACAATCCACTCAACACTCGGTGCGTTCTTAATTAGTAATATTAATGGGAGGGTCTATCAATTAACAACATAATCTAAACAATTCCAAATATAAAACATAATTACATATTTTGGTTCTAAATTAACTGAAATATATTGTAAATACCCAAAGAAGAAAACTAAACTGGTAGAAATGGAAAACTATAAAAAATTAGCATAAAAGGCCACAACAGTGCATCTTGTTTTAAAAGTTGTAGCTGAGTAAATATAACTTATCATCTATCTCTGATTATGATTATTAGTTATTTTTACTTCATTACAACACAATGAAACTTGTTGGCGAGCAGTGAGCAGCTTGCAGCTTCCAGGTGACATCGTTTAGCACGGTGTTTTTCTGGGGGCCCGAGTGTGGGAGGAGATGTATATCTTTTTAGGGGTTTGAGGTTTTCTTCTCTCTGTGTTTTTGTGTGCTCTAGCGCATGTGGAGTGTTTTAGAAACCATGCCTGCAGAGGAGGCTGCAATCTAACAGCACTGAACTCCTCCAAACGTATCCTCTGCACTCAACCCATCCTTTATGGAGCAGAGAGCTGGTTCTAGCATCGGCGAATCCTCGCAGGATTGAAGGTATTCTTTGGGGATGCAGAATCACAGTTTTTACGTTTAAACCAGCAATTTACCAGGCTATTAAGGACTGAAATCATCCAACCATGAGAACAATCACTTCCCTGAGTAAGACCAGTGAGATGAAACATTTGCATGGTGGGGAATCAAACCCAGCACACAGGGAAGAACCTAAACCAGTAAATCAGGGGCCACCATATCCAGTCATTACAACTTCGCAGAAATGTTACTCTGGATGTCCTTCTAAACCTTCTAACAGCTGGTCCCCAGAATTAACTCCTTTAACAGCTCTGTGAAATGTAGCTCACCACCGTCTGTGTGTAAATGCCCGAATGCAGCTCTAAATGAGTGCAGGCATTTACCAACAATTACATCAAGGTTTGATTTTACTGCGTTTTTTCCAGTTTGAAAAATTTAATCTTTACAACAAATTTAAAAAAATATAAATCTTTACTTCTAGATCTATTCTATTCTAGATAGAATAGAAATACCCTATCTTGCCCTGCATGTGTAAATTTAAAGCAGTTCACCAATTATAAAAATAAATACTTTCAATATTATAAACATTTAATAACATACATTTGAATAAATATAATTAAATATTATTATTCCAGAAACTCAGTTCATTTGGTGAAACACGTTAACTCAAATTACAAGCTAGTGTTTCTTAAAGTATTTTTAAAAAAAATATAATATTGAAAAATAAAATATGACATCAGATAAGGAAAAAATATCATATTACAGAAACATGGGAGCAATACAAATTAGAGCTTCATGAAATTTATTGGATGTTAACGTGTATTTAGTTCAATGTAACTAATCACCAGGCAACATCTGCTCATAGATAAGATGTAAAAAAAAAATCAAAACAGTACAATTACCTCGTTACCAGCATTTACACTATTTATTAATTTCATATCAGCATTCATTTCAACAAAATAAACTCCTGCAATTAATTAGAGTGAAGTTCAACTTTTTAATCAGAAACTTTTTTTTTCTTATTTCTTTAGTTTTTTTGCAGAAAAGGGAAAACGGCCTTAAGAACCTTTTGTTAAATGGAATACGAGCTTAGATGTGACTCTAAAGCAGAGGCCTCAACCTCACCTGCTGGAGGACAGGTGTCCTACACACCTGTATCTAATGATCGGTCTTCCTCACCAGCAGAACTCAAGCTGCAGAGACACAACGCAAGGCTGCAGTGAAACACAGTAGTGGCAGCATCATGATAGGTGGTTACTCTTCAACAGAAAGGGGACTTTCTGTTGTTTTTATGGAGGAGGAGAAAATGTATAAGTTATAAACATGTCAAAGTAGCAGCCGGTTTTGCCTCTGTGGCTTTGTTTGTTTGCTTGATCACTAAAGATAAAAGGTTTGATTGGTTTTCACATCAGTTTGAATAAAAATCCAAACCAACCAGAGAATAAATGTGTGAGATCTGGCCTTGTCAAAGAAGTCCTGACTTAAGACTTTTATTGTCATTTTGTATACACAGAGTGTAAACAAAACCAAATTTCATTTAGTACAGCTTTCAGACAGTAAAGCGGCGTATTTTGTGTATTTGTCAGGAGGTGTATCAAGCCACTGCCTATAGGTGCAGCCATCACGTTACAAGGCGCCAGAAAATATTTGGCTGTTTGTTAAATAAACAGGTGCTTTAGAAAGATTTTGGTTTTTGGGTGTTTAAAATTTTTTCCGTCCAACAGTTTTGTTTGAATGTCAGCTAAATTATTATCAAATTAATATCAATCATCCATAAAAGCCTTAGAGTTACTTATCAAAGTCTTACTTTCTTAATGATTCACAGTTTTACCAAAGATTTACCCTTTTCAGGGCCGCCATATTCTGTTGCACTTTATTAAATTCAATATTTTCTAAAGGAAAAAACAAACCAAATGAAACATGTTTGAGAAAGCAGATATTTTTTAATTTATTATTAAATGACATAAATAAATCGTGCAGCGGTTCAAGTAGAAATAGATAGCTTATGTACAGGCAAAGGCAGCGGACTCATCTAAAGCCTGCCAGCATCCAGAAGGCACTTTGGAATCGATCGTACAGTAAAAGGCACAATGAATGGAAAATACACACATTAATTTACTCTATATACACACATGTACATATTCACGTTAGTTAGGACCTTTTTTTTGTTGTTTTTTTAGGGTTAACAATGATATAAAATGTAATGAATATGGTGGAAAATAACTTTGTAGCTTCCTAAGAGCAAGTTAACATTCATAACCTAATGTCTGTCTACATATGAAATTAGTTTATGTCATGAATTTTCTTGGCTGCAGAAACTACCCTGCGCCAGTCGACAGACCATTACTTAAACAGGGTTTAAAAGTGTCTTATTTAATTTGCAAAGTTAAGTGTGGAGAAAAAAACAAAAAAAAAACAATCTTTTTGGCTGTAAGAAAGCAGAACAGTGTACACATTGCACTGTCTATCCCAAATGAGTCTATTCAGTTACTTTTTCGAGGAACTGCAATAAGTGATCTGGGATCTTAGTCTGTACCAAAGCTCCATGCTTCCTAAAGGTCAGACAGGAAGAGGTGAAGCCTGAGAGCTGCTTCAGTAGCTCTGAGCTACAGGCGCCCAGCTCGCTGTGAGCCTGGCGATGGAGCTCTCAAACTGGGCATCCCCTACTCCAACCTCGCTCAAGCTGGGCTCGTACATGGAGGACGGCGAGGAGACGGGTAGAGAGGAGGTCAGACCCGTGTAGGAGGAGCCCCTCAGGAACTGAGAGGTCAAACCTCCAGGCACGGAGCTGGAGGAAGAGCCAGAAGGGGTGAGCGTGGTGCCAGCTACCGACCAGAGGCTGGGGTACTGACTGTGGAGAAGAAAGAGGAACACGTTGGAAAAAGGAACTGATGTTGCCTCTTCTGCAAAAATCAGCAAAGAATTGGATATTTATGAGCCTCACCCGGTGTTGGATGTGGAGTTGCTGGTATGAGACAGAGTACCCATGCCTGTGGAGTTGGGGATCTGAAGGGCAGACCAGCTGTCATGAGTCGGCAGAGTCCCCGAGTTGTTGTCCATGTAGTTGTCTGAGAAAACGAAGTGAGAGGAGAAATAAATAAAAACTTTCTCCGCTTTAATCCAGACAGCGTTAAATCACAGACTCCTCAGCGGGTCTTACTGGTGCTGGAGCTGCGGTGGGGGTAGTGGCTGGGGTAGGGAGCCGCTCTGTGGCTCCTCAGGCTGGAGTAGCGCTCGCAGTAGGAGCCTGACGGGTGGCCTGCAGTGCCACTGAACTGAGGGGGGCTGCTGTTGGGGCAAATGGGACTCTGGCCTGGAAGGAACCAACCCCCAACTGTAGAGGAATAAAAGAATGTAATTATCTGGAGATACAATTCGACAAAAAGCATGTATGGCTCCTCCTTGATGTACATCTTAAAGATTTAGAGTCTAAAGAGATGACAAGAAACTTACGTTGAGAATATCCGGACTGTTGGCTGTCCGTAGTCTGGTCAGACACTTCTTTATGGTCACTCCTTCAATAAAAGATAAAGAATCAGATCACTGTAAGCAGATCTTTACTAAGCAGACAGGATAAGCAGTAACAGCTGATCTAACATGACTACATACACACATTATTATCCTAAAACATTCATTAAAAACCAAAACTTTTATTCTTTAATTCACAAGAAAAAACGTGTACCTTTCTTTGGCATCCAGAAAAGCTTTGGCAAAGGGGTTGTGTTTTATCTTCAGAGCAGTGATCTAAACAAGAGAACACAGGTTCAATAAAGCTTAAAAATGAGCTGTTTTAATGAGAATGTGGCTGATATGGGCATAACTGACCTCTTCGTTCTGGTAGGCAGTGACAGCGATAAACTGGGTTTCTGGGAAAGACTGGCTGCTGATCATCTTCTGGATGCCTCCGACCTTCACGATGTGGATCCTCGGCTCATATTTGTGCAAAGAGTTCAGCATGATCTATGGGAACATCTCAGTTAGTCTTCTAATCTCTCAGTATGTGCGCACATCTTGGTCACACCAAGTGAGACTAAACCGTAAACACACAAACTCTTAGTAAAATGCATTTTAAAGACAGATATCGCCCAAAAGAGCCAGAAATACAACAATAAAAATGCAAACAAAAAATAACAAAATGTATGAAACACTTTGGACAAGGGCTGAAACAATTAATTGGATTAATAGTGATTAATTAATTATTACTGTCAGCTAATTTAGTAATCTATTAATCATTACCTGCATTATAGAGACTGTTAAATATGCCTTTAAATGACAGAGCGACCCATTTAGAGCAGTAAATATAACAAAATTGTAAAAAGAAACAATATGGAAACATTTTTCATTTAAAATTAAAAAAACGTTTTTGGTCTGTCAATATGCTCTATCCAGAACTCCATAAGTGGAAAAGTTTTAGTTTCACCTGGTTTAAATCAGCCAAAAAATCTTATCTTAGGAACCTTTTTGCAATCTTTGGTGAATTGTTAAGTGCCTTGAGATGACATGTGTTGTGAGTTGGCGCTATATAAACTGAACTGAAATGAATTGAACTGATTATATGCGCTATTAATTGAAATTCACAATAACACTATGAAAACGTAGGTATCCCATATTTTCCCTTGAAAAGCTTCCTGGAAGGGAAGCGAAACCTCTTCAACCTTGGAACTAAGTCCAGTGGATTGTTTTTAATTTTCTTTCTTTTCTTTTTCTTTTTATCTTTTCTCTAAGTTCCCCTCCTCACCTGTCCTCCGCCGTTCAGCTTGTTGGACAGTTTAACTTTGCTGAAGGAGACCGGCGCCTTCATCCAGTGCGCTCCGAAGTTTGGGGAGTCTGGATGGATGTAGACGCAGCTGGGGCTCTGCGGCTCCGGCTTGCCCCCGGGGACCCATTCCCCGTTCACGTATTTCCATCGGTTGTTATCCGCTGCAACGAAGTCTAACAGCACCGAGTACATGGCGTTCGGGTCCAGGCCGGAGACGCTGACCCGCAGAACCGGGAACATCCTCCTAAAATAGTGAGTTAAGTAAGAGTTTGAAACCAAGTGGCTTATATATGTATATATATGTTTTTAAATCTCCAGAGTAGTTAAACATAGACATAAATATCTACATGTTATGTTAAATCAATGACTTTGCTTCTTAAAATGAGAATATTCCCCATGTTTAACTGGTTAAATCTCGTGCGTAAATTGCGCCCAAACCGGTGCGTAAAGATCGCGCCCCGGCCTCCTTTCCATTCAGACCTACCTCCCAGTCTTGGTGACGATCATCTCGTTGGTTAACTCTTTAAACTTGTTCCACAGCTCCGCGTCCTCCAGCGTTAACTTAATATCTCTCTCGGTGACGTCTCCTTTCTCGCTGCCTTTCTGGAACTCGCTCTCCACGGCGCTGAGCAGATGCTCCAAACGCTGATCGGGGCTGGAAGAGCTCATATCTCCAAGTCAGGTCAGATGGGTCTAAATCCGACAGGAAGATGCCTGTGCGCTCAGGCCTTAGCACATTCTGGAGTTTAGGCCCCGGGGCCCTCCTTCTTTAAGGGCCCCCGGGACCTCATGGGGTTTTTGGGCGTGGTTTGGTTCGAGTGCGCACACCTCGAATGTCTGACGGTGTTTTTCAAACTCCACCCCAGCAAACCCTGAACCGCAATGAAATAAGATATTTGGAGAAATGTAGAAAATTTAGAGCGAAAACTTTGAGGACCAGGTTAAAGAAGAGGCCTCGTTCTGATGCAGAACTTTGCAGAACCTAAAATCCTATAAGCTGAAAAAAGGATGAGATATATTTTACATTAGAAGATGTCGGAAGGTTTTGTCAACAAATGCAAATAAAAAAAAAGCATTTATCATTTAGTTAATTTCACTATATTAACCTTTTAAACTCTTTTACCAGCAGCTTACTGTTTTACAGTTTCATAATTTTTCCAAATTCTTTCATTCTCCTCTCAGTTAATAATAAAAAAATATACATTTTTAATTTGTGCAAAAGATGAAGATAAATGAACTCTTAAACTTAATTTATAGCTGATGATTACAGCATTCTATTCAGGTTTGTTTATACATCAATTGCAATGATTTTAAACCAATCCTATTCTTGTAATATTTCTATTTAAAAATGTATGTTTTATGACAAGCTTTAGAATAAAGTGCTAAAGTCTTGGTTTTTATTGTTAAAATTATTTATCCATTTGTTTCATTTTACTTAATTTAACATGTAGACGATATACTGAAGCCAAAATGTTGGTTCTTTTTTGTGTTTTTGGCTGATTTTCAAACCAACACCCCTTAACTGCCAATTATTCTGTTAGTTGTCACTTATTAATTTCACTCATCTGTAAAAGAACAAAAATGTTTCCACAATGATAAGAACATGTTTATTATCTCATTAATAGATATAAGTATATAAATGCTTTGGAACATTGATTCTGATTTAATTAATAAATGCAAAAAAAAATTGGTTCCCTATTTCGTTTTGTTGGTCAAAACGTAGAGCTTTAATATGTTCAATATTGTAGACTTTAAGTATTTTAAATATCTCCAAGGATATTCAGAAAACATTGAAGGGATCAGCTGTTAGATCTTTAAAGTAGCTAACAGCTAAACTTCACTAAAATCAGCTTTAGCAGGTTTCTGCAGCATAAATGTGCTTTTACACATTTTGCATAGATAAATTTAGGATTTATAGCTTAAAGGCCACCTCACACTATGATGCCCTCCATGCTGAAAGGTGTGCATGCAAACAAAGGAAGGGAAGGGAAGGAAGAGGGCCGTGCCTTTGAACTCAGCTGTATATTTGCAAATTGTACTAATCTTTTGTTGCCTCAAATCCACATGAGAGAGGATTTGTGTTTGCAGAGTGAGGGCCATTAGGGCTGCCCCTGTGTTCTTGTTGTGCCGAGGTGTGGAAGGCCTACGAGTGATGCCTGGATTACCATAATGGGCCTTTGGATAACCCACTCAGGCTTTAATATTCGATATAACAGTCACTGATTTTTTTTTTTTTTTTAACAAAACTAAAAGAACTGCTACTTACTGGGAAAATATTGAAATGACCTGCTTCCATTTTATTTTAGAAGCAGAGGAAATCGGATTCTCCTTGGGTACAGCTTGAAGAAAAGGAGTAATTTATTTTCACTTTATTATGTAAAGTTATTTAATGTGTAAACAAAGGTGGTTTTATTTATTTTAAATCAATACACATTTACCAAGCTAGAAAAGACAACCATAAACCAGGGTCTGATATATTAGGATCCATCCCTCCATCGTTGTAGAACAGGTCTGCAGTCACTCACAAAGCCATCATAAATTGATGCTTTCTTTCTCTTTTTATGTGTGTTTTTAAAAATACTGTTATTGATAAATATCCAAACAATTTCTCAACAATTACTGTGAGGAGTTTGAAAATGCTGACCTGTTAAATTAATAATTAAAGCAACTATATCCTAAAAGAATGTGATGGCCCTGCCTCTAATATAAGGGCCTCCAGGCCAGACCCAGCAGACGTAACGACACATTGAAGTCGATGCTTCACATAGGTGACCTTGTTTAGGTGACCTTGGCATTATCAACGCTTTAGATAGTGTCTTTGATCAAGGATAACTTTATTTCTTTTTCATTGACTTTATAGACTTTTACACAAACATTTTTCCAAAACTATTAATATAGTTCATGGTTGATTTTCTAAGAATTTCTGCCTTATATTCTGTTTCCTGTAAGATCCCTTTGCTCTGTTGTTTTAAATGATACATAAAAAATAGGAAACATATTTGTCATTATTTATACTTTTATTTATTGATTTACTCTTAATTATATAAAAGACAAAGAGAAACACACCTCAATCACAGCATGAAAGTATCCCTAATCTGACCTTTGAGCTTCAAAGTTCTACTAAACCTCCTTTATAGAGGCCGTTATTAACGAGTTAGCTTTACTTGAGTCACTTACAATAAAATTGTACTCTAAGGAGCACTTAATTGATTTAATATTCTTGTTGGTAATTTTTCTGTTTACTCCACATACAACTAGTAAGCAAAGCTATTCAGAAATCAGGTGAAAATAGGAGGAACACTAGAAAAGTTATTTATCCTTCATAGCATATATGCATCACATACTGTTAAAATTGGTTTTATACGTTTGTGTTAAGAAAATTAATGCATACATTTTTTCTTCTCTCCAAATAGATTGTTTTTTCTTCATTTAGGAATCATGTTCTTTTTTTTAATGGTTGCATTTCATAATTCTGTTTTATATCTGAAATAACAGAATTTTCTTATAAGTCTCTGATAACTTTATTTTTATTTTTTTTATTGACTCTGGTTTTACAATTCAACAATACCCAGGTAGCCATATAAAAAAGCACTTTTTACTCTTAATTTCTTTTCTTTATACATTGAATAAACTTAAAATGTTCAAATAGTTCTACTCAAGTAAAATGAATGGTATAATTTTACTTTACTTATATAACTTTTATCATTTGTATGTTTGTGAGCAGAAACTCACAAGAGAAAATATCACAGCTTTTCATGGAAGTATCATTTTACAGCTGTAGGTATGGAACTCATTGTTGTTCCATTGTTGTTTTTTTGGGAATCTAGAAAAGAAGTTTTGAAAAACATCTTCATAAAAAAAAAAAAATAATTAAGAGTAACTTTACCGTTTTCTTAATTTTTGTGTTATTTAATTATTTTCTCCAAATACATTCTTACAAATATTGTTTTTTTTTTCTTTTTTTTAAACAAATTTTTTTATAAAAAATTTGCTTCTATTTTCATATGAAGTTTTACAAACTGCTTTTCTTTTAAACTGTGTGTAACAGATCTCGTTCTCTTCACTTTATGCCCAAAACAAACGCTCAGTTTTGACCAATGAAAATGTTTTGCTGACGTCCAGCAGACCAATAGAAATGCGTCTTCATTCGCCTCTCTAGAGGGAAGCCCAACCCCAAAAATAGAGAGAATGTGATCTGTAAAATGCAATTTATAAATAATGACATTTGCCTTGATTGAATGTGAAAAAGAAAAAAATTTTGAAAACACAATTTTAAATATATATATTCTGTGTAAAGAGAAAAAAAAAGAATATAAAATAGCTTGTTACTTTCAAAACATTTTAGTTATGAAGATGTTTTTTAAAATTTTATTTCTGGACTATAATTTTCTGGAACATCAGTTTAGAAATATTGTTCTTTGTTTGCAATGATAGTGGAACATAATTTTCTCCATATATAGGATTCATCCAACAATATTTATGGCCACTGCATTCACTACAGCCAAAGAGTTTTTAATGTCAGCCGTGTGTAGATGGATGTATCTCAGGTAAACAGCAGCTTTTATGGCATTTCTCTGAGGCTCCTCTGTTTCCGTCGCCTCTGACCAGCCTGTCTGTGATGTACTTGGAATTGAGTGAAGGCTTTGGAGCACGACTCCGCTTTACTGCACCACTTCCTCCAGTTCCACAGAGGCCGTAAATGTAAAGGGGTCCTCTCACACCTTGGCATCCCGTATCATTCAGCAGCCTCTTCCTTTTCAATGTGGAGGACTGAGACACAGAGAGTGTTAAAAAAGCGGCTGCATAAAGAACATGACCCCCGTCGACCGACTGACCGGGCCCTTCAGGCTCCGCTAACCCCCAACAGATACGAACACACGACAGGAAGCCGCCTCACGGCTTCAAATTAAGATCTGCTGAGAAGCTTAGGGACACGTTTCTTTGTAGCTGCAGGAACAAACAGTCTAAACTTTGAACAATGTGTGTCTGTCAGGTGTTACACTGCGAGAAACATTCAAATATGTTAATTATGGGGTAAGATTACTATGGTGTAGCTGTCTGAATTGATAGATGCAATGTAAATAAGTTTAAGATTTGTATTTTGTTCTTGTTTTCATAACCTACATACATGAGACATCATGAGACATTCAATGTTTTATCTCTAAAAATACCAGTTTAGATGTTAGAAATACAAGCACAGATTAAATATTGAAACAATACAAGTACAAATCTTAAATTCATAAGTAATATTAAAAATCTTTGAGCACAAATCACAAAATATCAAGTATGAATCACAGATTAATAAGAATGAATCACAAATTAATGAATACAAATCACACATTTACATTTAAATGAGTATAAATCACTCATTTTGAAAAATCCCAATTCTAAAGAAACAGTCACAAAGTAATAGAAATCCCAAAATTACAAATAATACAAATTGTAAATCTTACAGGTACGTATTTTCTACTTACAACAAGAAAAAAACAAACTGTACATTGACCAACGTTTACTAATTTAGACACACTGGTATGTTTTTGGACAGATCTCCAACTCCATCATTATCCTCCCACATAGTGAACGAATGTCTGCTGCGAAAAATATGCAGTTTGTTTGAAAAGAAGCACACAGAAATAAAGCTGCTGGCTGGTGAACTGGGGGTTAACCAGAATAGTCCCTGCTCGGCATTAGCAC